TGCAATGGAGACTAAAAGAATGATACAAAAAATTAACAAATCCAGGAGTTGGTTCTTCAAAAGAATAAATAAAATTGACAAACCCTTAGCTAAACATAAAATAAAGGGAAATGAAAAGGCCCAAATCCATGCAATTAGGAATGAAAAGGGTGAATCACAGTGGACCCAAAAGAAATCCAGAGGATCATCAATATGGCTTCAAGAACCTATATGCCAATAAGACGGAAAATACAGAAGAAATGGGCAGATTCCTAGATTCATAAGAATTACTAAAGATGAACAAAGATGACCTAAATATCTGAAACCAGCCAATATCAATCAACAAAATTGAAAATGTAATTAAAAACTTGCCAACTAAGAAAAGCCTGGGCCCTGATGGCTTCACTGCTAAATTCTACAAGACATTGAGAGAGGAACTACTGCCATGAATATTTAAACTCTTCAGTGAAATTGAAAGGGAAGCAATACTCCCTAACTGATTCCTGGAAGCAAGCATCACCTTGATCCCCAAAGCAGAGAGAGATCCAACTGAAAAATAGGCTTATAGGCCAATATCACCAATGAACATAGATGCAAAAATCCTTAATAAGATGCTGGCAAATACAATGTAGATCATCTAGAAAATCATACATCCTGACCGAGTGGGATTCACCCTAGGGATGCATTGATAGTTCAACATATGTAAATTAATAAATATAATACACTGTATTAATAGAGCCAAGGATAAAAACCATATGACCACCTCAATAGATGCACAAAAATCAGTCAACAAAATCCAACACTCATTCATAATAAAAACCCTACAGAAAATTGGAATACACAGTCTCTACATCAACCTAATAAAAGCCATCTATGAAAAACCAACAACCAGTAACATATTAAATGATCAAAAACCAAAATCAACTCCAGCACCCTGGGCCTTCATCACAGCAGACTGGTGAAGACCAACCAACAATGTGGGGAACTCACTGCTTCCCAACCTCCTTCACCCCAAGCCAATGCACAGGTGCCTCTGCAGCATTCCTCCCCTCACCCTGTGCTCTAGGGCCTCCTGGTTGTGCCAGTACCTGGATTCACAATTCAGAGGCACAGGTAGTCATAATTGTCATGGTACTGAGACACAGAAGGTAGAATGGAAGTAAACAACTGCAAAAAAAAGGCACATCAGACCTCCCTAGTTGGTAAGTTGGAGGGATCACCACCTTCCATTAGAACTTGGACTATCTTCAGGGGAAGGGCAGCTGGAACCAGCAGTAGCTTCTTGCAAATTTCAACCCTGAAGGAAGTCAGGGAGCTCAACTTGGGCCTTGCAGCCAGAATTCAGCCTGAATCTCAGTAGTCTGCCGTTGGCTAGCTGAGACTAATTGACTTAGTTCTGCACATTGCTGCCCACATTGTCTATTGTGACAGCAGAGATATGCCCCAAAAGAAGCTCTTCAAATTTTTTTCTTTCTTTTCCTATTTTTAATTTTTATTTTTAAAATTTTATTTTTTCCCATTCTGCAAATTCTGTTTCTTCCTTCTTCTTTCCCCAATCAGTGTCTTGCTCTCCAACGTTATTCTTCTTCTCCCTTTTTGTTCTTCTTCCTTCCCTAATTGTGATTTCTTCTTTCTTTTTCTTTCCTTCTCTCTTTTTCCTTCACTCAATTGTCATTAGTTTCAAAGGAAAGTGAGTACAATTTATAGATTCCCTATTACTGTTAAGTTGTTCTATTCTTGTCTTTGTTCTTGCACTCTATCTTTCCCTCTTGTCTTCAACAGTTTCCTAGAGTTTGTGTGATCATCCTATTTCCTCTGGCTTCACTTGAAATCTTCTCATTATTTTACCTATTTAGTCCTCTCTTTCCAACTCCTCTAAGTCCCCATCCTGATGGGTAAAGTAGCTTTATTGAAGAGTTTATTCACTATAAACATATCTTGGCTCATCCTCAATTTCAATTTAATTTACATGGTTAAAGGTGATAGATTAATAACAACCACAAATGGTCTGTTCTATATAGTTCTGGAAACATTAGCCACAGCAATTAAACAAGAGAAAGAAATAAAAGGATTGAAAGATAGGAAAGGAAAAAGTCATCTTGTCATTATTTGCAGATGACATACTACTCTATATATAAGACCGCAAGAACTCCACTAAACATCTTCTAGATTTAATAACCAAATTCAGTAAAGTAGCTGGATACAAGATTAACACACAAAAATAAATAGCTTTTCTGTATACGGAAAACAGACTCATTGAGAAAAAAAAAATGAGTCAATTAATTCCTTGCACAATAACATCCAAAAGCTTGAAATACTGAAGAATCAACCTAACAAAAAAAAAAAAAAAAATGAAAGACCTCTACTCTGAAAACTACAGCACTCTGAAAAAAGAGATTGATGAAGATACCAGAAAATGGAAAGACATCCCTTGTTCCTGGGTAGGTAGAATCAACATAGTGAAAATGTCCATACATCCAAAACTGCCTATAGATACAACGAAATCCAAATTGAAATCCCAGCAGCATAATTCAGAGACCTTGATCCAGTTATTCTCTGGGTACCTTCCCTAAAGAATTAAAAGAATCATATTATAGTGATATATGTGCACCCATGCTCATCGCAACCCAATTTGCAATAGCTAAAACTTGAAGGCAGTCCAATTGTCCATCACCTGGAGGCTGGATAAAGAAAATTTGATTTATTTCATAAAATGGAATACTACTCAGCCATTAAAATGATAAATTAGAGACATTTATAGCTACATGGATGCACAGTGAAGTGATACTCTTAAGTGATATAAATAGGACACACATGTGTAAATACTGAATAGTTTCTCTAGTGCGAGAAACTGAAAATGTAAGTAAGGACTAAAAGGTATAATAGATAATGTGAAATAGGAAGAAAAGGGACAAAGAGGAAAGGGAAATGGGAGGGGTAGTGGAAAGGAAAGAAGGGAATGAATCAATATGATAAAATGAAAAATAATGGAAACAAAGTCTTTGTAGATTGGGAGGGAGGTGTTGAAGAGAGGGCAGGGGAATGGGGAAGAATAAGAACAAAGATTGATTATGTAAAGGTACAGATTTCCAACAATGAATGTCATTATACTGTATACATTAAATGTGGCAATAAAATTAATTTTAAAAACAAAAGTTTTAGCCATTACAAACTGTGCCACTATAAACATGGGTGCGCTTATATTGCTGCGGCATGGTTCTTTTTAATTCTTTTGGGAAGATACCCAGCAAGGGCATAGCTAGGTCAAACGGGACCTCTAATCCTAGTTTTTCTAGCTATCTCCATATTGATTTCCATAGTGGTTGCACCAGTCTGCACTCCCTCCAACAGTGGAGAAGGGTTCCTTTCTCCCCACAACCACACCAGCATTTGTTGTTGGTTGATTTCTTGATAGTGAGGTGGAATTTCAGTGTTGTTTCCATTAATTCTGATATCCCACTGTCTACAGTAAAAATATATTGATCTTTAGGTTGAAAGAAGCATGTTTACAATAGTCCTAAACATGTTGACAATATTCCTCACATTTAACTTTCACCAACAGTTTGAACATCCTATTAATGCAAATTACAGCATCTCTCCTCTTGTATATATTTTCTGTTCTGCCAAATGTATCATCTAGAAAATAGCATCCCCTAAAGAAGCATAATGCAAGAACAACTATAATTTGCTAATAGCAACGTTAAAAACCTTTTAAAATAGGTAAAATTTAATTTGATAGTACATTTTATTTAACCCAATATAGTTGAAATGCTGCCTTTCAAATGTGATTAATATAAAACACTTTAATGAGTTATTTTGAATTCTTGTAGCTGTACTATGCCTTCAAAACTGGGTTTGCATATTTATTTACATATTAAGCATATCTCAGTTTACACACTAAATTTTCCGTGGTTAATTTGAAATGCATTCCTTTCAAAATACTAAAGTTGTTTTTCACGAAAATATTTTACAGTGCTTCAGTTTTAAAATTTAAGTTAATGAAAGTTAAATTTAAAATTCACTTCTGCAGTTACAGCAACCATGTACAGTTTGTGGCAACTGCTTAAACAGAGTAGCTCTGGAAGGATAAGTGTTGGCGAAGAGAAAATATTGGAAATATCAGCCTTTTCTATCAGCAAGACATAGGAGGAGGGGAGAAGGGGTCACACAAGAATCACATACAAAGTCATAGAGAGCTAAAAGTTTTGGAGTTAGACTAGATTATCTCTGCTGATTTTTATCCATGGCATTGTTAAGCTTCACTTTTCTTATCCTAAAGTAATAATATCTGCATTATTGAGCATCTAACATTAAGTGAGGTAACCTAACCATCAAGCTTCTAAGATTAAACAAGACAATCAAAAAACAGCAGTCTTGGAACAGTGCCTAGGTCTAATTAATTATATCTATTTTATTGGTATTCATAGAAGCCATTGGGGTCAATTTGCATTTAAGACTGGGGAACTACTGAAGAGGTTATAATTTTACTAATTACCTGTGAGATAGAGGCTGGAGAATGAGGAATTGGGATGTGTATATTGTGCAAATTTGATTTCTCATATTTAATAAAACATGCATAGAAAAGTGAACCAACTGTAAGCATTTAGATCAATCACTCAGATTTTCATAAAGTACACTTCTCTGTATAGTCAGCACTCAAATCTAGAAGCAGAACATTAAGAAAAATCTCAAAATCCTCCTCAACTTCCTAACCAAAGAAGCTTCTAATATTATAGACTTGTTTATCTGTTTTTAGCCTTTATATAAAAGGACTCATACAGACTGTATTTTTGTGACTGACTTCTTTCACACAATTTATTTGTGTGGTTTACTCACATTGTGTGTGGTGCAGTAATTCATTCTCCTTCTTCGTATTACATTCCAGTGTGTAAATATCCCACAAGCTGTTTATTCATTTTACAGTAGATGAATACTTGGAATTTGGAATATCTGGAAATTGTGTTTTCAATCTCAGACTTAATGAAAAAATATGAAATGCTCCTCGTAAATTTTATGTGCAGGTACCCTGGATAAGCATAAAGAGTTGGAGGATCTCTTGGCTAAGTTCCTGAATGTAGAAGCGGCAATGACCTTTGGGATGGGATTCGCAACAAACTCAACAAACATCCCTGTACTAGTTGGAAAGGTGAGGATTTGTTAGCATAATTATCTTCTAGCATATTATTCCCAAGAATTATAACTCGGAGGCTGGGGATTTAGTTCAGTGGTTCTGACTCCATTTGCAATGAAGCAAACATTTATTAAGTATTTTTTTCTTTATTGGTACATTTTAGGTATACAATACAGATACATTCATCATTGGGATCTTGTACCTCTACATGATGTATCTTGGTTCTTATTTTTCCCCATTCCCTGGCCTTTTATTTTTATAAAAAAATTTTTCTATCTTATCCATCTACTTATTCATTTGATCAACCATTCATCGAATATACTGTGTTCTGGCATGAAGCCAGATAGAAGACATACAACGATGGAAAAGACTTATCTCTTGTAAATGTATATGGTTTGCAAGCTAGTGAGGGAGACGTATGACAAAAAAAGTATGCACATACATTACGGGAGACAAAGAGTTCCCCCCAATGTCTTCTTGAGAATGACTGCTGTGAAAAGAGGGTGACATGTGAAGAGAATTTTAACAGACAGGTAAGTTATTTCCTTAGCACAAGGATGAAGGCACCTTGTGTGCAAAGTAGCTAGCTTTGGAGGAACTACAACATAGGACAGCAGTCAAAGAAGAAACAGGAGTTGAAGACAAGTGCCCAAGAGTCCCAAAGAGTCTTGCATTGTAAGTCATTCCAGTGTGATTGAAATGTTTCCTGAGAAAAAGGAAAAGTTGCTTGTTTAAATTAATCAAGTGCAATAATCAGATTTATATTTTTAAGAGCTTGAATGACAACTAAGTGTGGTGTGTGATCTTATACTGTGTTCACAGAGAAAAAGGAAAGAGAATATCTATAAAAGATATTAGGACAGTACTAGGAAAGTTAAGTAAATCAGAATTATATATTATATGATAGTACTGCATAAATATGGAATTCCTTAGGATAATTGCATTATAGTTTTGTAGAGCACCCTTGTTCTGAGGAGACCTGGCTAAAGAATAGAGAGGTGAGGTGTCATAAGATTTACAATAACTCAAGTATTTCAGTAGAAAAATTATTAATATACACAAATGTCTACAGTATGGAGATATGAGAATTTTACTCAGACACAAAACACATTATAAACACTGAACTATAAGAAATCAAAGATTCTGGGTGGCCACAAAAGACAAAAGTCCACCATGACTAATCCCTGAATTTCTGTTATGTTGTTACAGTTCCATAGTTTACAAATTTTAAAATTAAAAAAGAAAAAGTTTACAGATGGTAATTAACAAGCAGAACATTAAACTAACTTTTTCCACTTAACCTCTAACTGTGAATTGGCATCCACCCTTGCAAATTCAAAGTCTTTAAGGGTAAGGCAGGGAAGTTTCTGTTTATATGTTTACATTTGAGAAGGAGAATTATGAAGCAAGAATTTGAAATACTCAGCTGAAAAAGATCCTTCCCCCCAGGATCAATAACTAAAAGCATCCCAGACAATCTAGGATAAATTGAAACCCCCCAGCAATTCCATAGCCCTCTCCCAAATAAGTTTACCTTCCAAAGATAAATCTAGCTGGGGCTTAACCACCTTAATCTGTGATGAACTTCTCTGTTTAAAAAATACCACATTTGTAAAGGTTCCAGTAAGGATTGAATCCCATAAGAAAAGTCCCATTTCTACAAGCTAAGTGTCATGCATAATTTTATCCACATAGACACCAGGCCTTTTAATTAAAATCAAAGAGGACGTTAGGAATCTGTGCTACAGGTTTTACAACGTCTTCCTGTTCCCACATATTTCTGAGGGTTTGATTTATTGGCATGTGTTCTGTGTGCTTGTTTCCTGTACAGGGATGCCTCATTTTAAGTGATGAGATGAACCACGCCTCTATTGTCCTTGGGGCCCGACTCTCAGGGGCAACCATAAGGACCTTCAAACACAACAGTGAGTAACCAACAGTGTATTTATCTAACAGATCTTGATTTGCTACAAGAAGAAAGGAAAGATTATTGATGAGGCTTTTCCTTGCTCTTCAAGCTGGCACCTTAGTCTAATGAAACACAGTTATGTTTATATTCACTGCTGTTTTGTTCACCTCTGGTGACCTGGGACAAATGGCCAAAGTGTATTAACCATCCAGATTGCTTCGTGTAACCCAAACACATTAATGTCACTGTTAGTGGTCTTGTTATGTGCCCTCTGAAGACAAGATTGATTTCTTAGGACTGTCATTTATTATCAGAAGTGTGATAACTCTCCCCCTCCTGTAACTCTGCCTTGGGAAAGTCTGAAGACTTTTCATATTATAGTCAAGCAAAAGGGAAGCTTATTTCTTAGTATGATGCTTCCTTTCACTGTCCACATATACAGAATGTTCAAATGCCTGGTCCCCCACACACACCGTCTCCCTATATGACTAAAATGTCCTCCCTGGCTCTTTTTGGAAATCCTTTAATCTTTCCTGCATTCAGTTTCAGCATCTACTAATGAGGGTGTTGAACTAGATAATGGGTAAGAATTCCTTAGTTGGAGGTTCTACTTCTCCTGCATTGTTATCAGAGACATCCTCTCTTTTTATTGCCGGTACTTGCAAGAACACACATGCACAGGTGCACGCACTCGCTCTTTTCTCCTTCTAACCACCTTTCTCTCCTGCTGTCCCTACCCCTCCATGTTTCCCTGTATCTCTGCCTTGGCATGCTCCTCCTTCTTCCAATGTGGTAACAAAGACAAAAATAAGACAAGAAGACTGTAGAGAACAGAGAAAGAATTGTCCTAGATCTGTTCTGAATGCCTCATACCAATCTCGATCCCAAGGACAATCTTCCTAACAGGAGGAAAGAAAATGCATGAATGTATTCTCAAGTGAATCCTACTCCTTTCTGACATGTAGAGTTGTTAAAATGAAAACTCTCCTACTCTCACTGAGTCTGGCTATGCCTCACTGAAGCCCTATTACCCGCTTTCTGAAGACAAATAGTCTGGAGTAAAGTTCAGGGTCTGGCCCTCCAGAAGAAACAGACTGTGTGCCTTTATATCCAGTCTGCAACATTCAGTTTAGTGCAACTGAAAACATTGTCTTCACTTGCTAATTTTTCAACAAATAATCTTTGTTTTAATCTATGGTAATCCAAGTTAAATTCTTTTTATGCTTGATTCATTAGTAATTGTCAGTTTTCACAGGCTCAAATTATTTTGGCAATGTTGGGCATCACATTTGTAATACACATCTTTTAGGGCTTCAAAATACACTTATTGAAAAACCAGAGCAAATACCTTCAGAATTAGAACAAGTATACTTTTAAGTCTTTTTTTTTTTTTTTTTTTTTTTTTT